AAATGTGAATTCTGCCTGCTGCAAGTATCCAATATGAAGATAACAACTTTAGCAACCTTTTGGAAAATGTGTTTTCTCTCTCTCTCTCTCTCTCTCTCTCTCTCTCTCTCTCTCTCTCTCTCTCCCTCTCCCTCTCCCTCTCCCTCTCCCTCCCTCCCTCCCTCCCTCCCTCCCTCCCTCCGATCCATTGTCTCAGAGTGCTGAGAAAATCATGAGAATAGAACTCTTTGTTGGCCAAGTGTGATTGGACACACAAGAAATTTCTCTTTGGTGAATATGCTCTCAGTATACATAAGAAAAAATGAAATACATTCATCAAGAATTATAAGATACAACACATAGCTTACATAGTCATAGCTTACTATAAGCAATTTGCATAAACTATGAGCTTTGCATAAAACAATTCTCCCCAGTTCAGGTCTGAGCCTGGTGCCAATAATGGATGCCAGGCACAAGGTGCAGGTTTTCTGATTGCTTTTTATTGAAGTACTCCAAGGAAAAGCGCTCCTGGCCCAAATGCCAAGAACCAAGGATTAAGAAAGCTTTATACATTTTCACTAAAGGAGAAGGCGGGACAAGGCGAGAGAATAAGCAATATCATCTAATAAACATTTTAGTAATAATTCTACGATTTGTTCTATTGGTCTCTCGCTGTCCCTATTCCAAAGCCCTGGCCCCAGGAGTTATCTAATACACATTTTATTTGCTGCAAGCCATCTCTGTTCTTAACTTTTAGCTGAGGTCTGCAAGTTGCCTAACTCTTGTTCCTCTTAACAGCTTTCTAACTACCCAGAATTGTTACAAGCTTTACACGTGCATATTTCCTGTGGATAAGCATTCTTTGTTCTTGCCAGACACAATTAGTTTCCTGATTTACTTTCAAGTGTGTAAGCCATGACCTGGCTTTATTTTAGGAGCTGGCCCATCACCGTGGATATGAAATTCATGCTTCTATAGCAATGACGATCTATGCAAGCCGTGTGTAAAGCTATAAGAAGGAAAAATGATTTTTTCCCCTTGCGCGGCTGCTATTCTCTCCTTGCCTTGCTGTTTAAAAGTGAAAGATTAAGGTCACACAGTCTTTGCTTTGATCAAAATAAAAATGATTATCAGTTTTCAGGGTTTCATTGGGATTTATTCAGATTCTGAGCTACAGCAAAATCTAACAGTGGAAAGAAAGGAAAACAAGGCACATTGCCTAATCTCTGAATTATTCAGAGAAAAAAGAACTGAACTGAATTAAGGTGGGTTTTCTGAAGGAACAATGAGGAATACAAGCATGGCACTAAAAGTGATGTGTTTTGTTATGAACTGAGCGGTGAAAAAGTATATCAGAAAGTGTTGTCTTCTAAATGGTGGTAATACACAACCTCTCCCCTCCTGTTTCTGGGTTATTATAATAGGACCGGCCTAAGGAACCTGCTAGCAAAAATAGTAAGGGGAGATAATAGTTGGGGAGATAAGTTCTCCTGCCCCTTTAAGAAATTTAGGCGGGAGAGTTTGCCCAAGGGATCACTTAAGTCAGGGGTGTCCAGCCTTGGCAACCTTAAGCCTGGAGGACTTCAACTCCCAGAATTCCCCAGCCTGCAAAGCGAAGAACGAAAACACAACAAAGCTGGCTGGGGAATTCTGTGAGTTGAAGTCGTCCAGGCTTAAAAGTTGCCAAGGTTGGAAAACCCCCTTGACTAAAGGATAGCAAGCCGATTGGGTGAGCTAGTCTCGTGACCGGAGCTGTCCTCGGGCATATCTTCGCACTCTTCCCCCCACCCCCCCGCGCCCTTCCGCGTTCCATTGCGCGAGCGCTGTTTGCGTTCCCGCCTTTTTCCTTTTTGGACACGCCCCTCTGGGCTCATTTCCCGCTCGCTTCTGGAGAGTGAGGGAGAAACGGCCGCCATTTTGTCGGCGGTCAGAAACTCAAGGAAGGACGCGAACGAAAAACACAGGTAAGGTAAGAGATGGGAAACCGTCTGAAATTCAGGGGGCCCGGCCAGCCAGACCCCTGAGGCAACCTGAAACCTCCGTGATATATACCCATAATGTCGTAGCCTCGTAGCCGGTAGGGGAAGTACGAACTTTCGGTTTCGATTTAGAAACTCGATTTTAATGGAGGGCCGGATCAGCCTGGTGATTGTCCTTTGTGTGGCGGGGGAGGTCGGTTGACACCGGTGGGCTAGAAACTCGGGATCCCGGGTGGAGTCCACCCCAGTTTTTTCTGGCCATGGAGCATATTCGCGGGTCTTTAATCCGATTTGTAAATTTACCGAGTCCCCCCTCCCCCTTTAATTGAATGTAGGAAGGGGTTTCTTCTGTTCTTTTCCATCCTTATTTTTTTCCCCGGGAAAAAGACTGCTTCCACACTCTGTTTCCCAGGGGTCTCCAACTTTGGCCACTTTTAAGACTAGTGGACTTCAACTCCCAGAATTCCTCAGCTAGCAAAGCACCCGTCTTAAGCCTACAAAGCTGGCTGAGGGATTCTGGGAGTTGAAGTCCACTAGTCTTTTATATTTTTATTTTTTATGATATATAAAAATATGTTATTAAATATACATACACACGTACAATCATTCCATCTTCAGTTCAACAGTGTGTTGTCGGGGTACAAATATCTTTGTTAAATAATAAAATGATGACATCCTTTGTTAAATTAATACTGATTCTGCAATCTTTAACATTCCACATATTAATTCTACAATACTAACATAATAATAATCAACATACCAATCATAATATTTACTTATCTCTTTTAACAGATCTTTATTTTGTTTCCCTGTTTCTAACTTCCATTTCTATTATTTAACCATTGATAGAATGGATCCCATACCATATAGTACTTCGGTTTGCTCTTTCTCCTTAATTGCCAGCGTTAAATCTGTTCATTTCTGCACATTCTAGTATTTTGCTAATCACACACTCATCTGTAGGTATCTCTTCACTCTTCCGATTTTGTGCAAATACAATTCTGGCAGCAGTCAATATATGAATAACTAAATATGCATTTTCCTTAGTATATTTTTCAGGTAAGATCCCCAATAGAAATATTTCTGGTTTTAAATCGGTATGTTGTTTTATTATTATTTTTTCCAACCACGTATGTATTTTTCTCCAGTATTTTTTTTGCTTTTGGGCAAATCCACCAATTTGATAATATGACCCCGGTATTTGGTGGTACTTCCAGCATTTAGCCGATTTGTCTTTAAACATCCTTGCCAGACGCGCTGGGGAAAAATGCCATCTATACTAAACAACCTTCAAATCAAGGTCCATCAGCGCAGTCCACTGCAGGAATGATGCCAGCGGTAAATAGTTCAGTAAATAAGCCTGAAATGGGAATAAATGCTGCCATGAATCCTGGTATGTTGTCTGCAGGAAATGGGCAAGGAATGATGCAAGGACAAGTTATGGACGGTTCCATTGGAGCTGGAAGAGGATATTCCAATATGTCATCCCCAAACCCAGGAATGGGAAATGCTGGTATTCTAATGGCAGAGACATCACAGCAGGGTTCTCCCCAAATGGGAGGGCAGGCGAGCCTGAGAGGTCCACAGCCTGGAGCAATGAACAAGGTATGTCAAAGTTTTTATCCTGAATATGGACAATGAAAAATACAGTTTCAAAGTGCCCTCCTTTAGGGATGCTTTTGGGTGTCTTGCCAGATGCCTCCAACATGTTTGCAGATGGAACATATAATACATATAACACAAACCTATACATAACCTTATCAATGCATATTAAGGATGAATTTTACATGAGTGTTAACCTTATAATAACCCTGGAAAAGTCTAGGAGTCTAGGTATAGTTCATTATTCAAAACATTGCTTGAATTTATAAATATGGAAGGCTTTAAATAAGGTTTTCCATACACAGAATGATTGTGCATGAGGTAATAAGTTAATAATTTGTCTAATTGCAAGTGTTAAAAACTACTCCAAAGGCCATTCTTTTTTATTATTATTAAATTTATTTATTCAACATTTCAAAAAACAATTTCCACTTTTTACAACGATTCTGTAACGGTGTCACACTGATTGATAAAGTCTATAGCTATTTCAACTTCTCCATTCTGTTCACTTATACTCTTATTTCTCAATCTAACTTATAACACTATTAACATTTGTTCTCGTAGATTTTCACGGGTACAGGTATGCAGGTCTTGGCGTGTTCGGGTCTTTTCCTGTGTAAGATTGAGAGCATCTTGCAACGTTTTGACAAGGTCCCACTCGCCATCTTCAGGCTGGTGCTTTTGGCTTCATGCTTGTGCGAGCTTTGCACGAAGCCAAAAGCACCAGCCTGAAGATGGCGAGTGGGACCTTGTCAAA